CTTTATATTTTTTTTTAGGTGAGGGATCTTACGATACCTTAAAATAGATACGGCGCTGAGGTTACCATAGAGTGCTCAATGCGCGTGCGCGAAAATATATCGCGAACTCCCAGCATTGTGCTGCACTAGTGCAGCTAAAAAGACAGGCCTAAGGAGCGCCGCACACAAATTGACATAACGTAAGACGTACCGTAAGAATTGACCAATCACTTTGAGTATCGTCGAACAGTAAGGTCGCCATTTTTGTGAATACTCGATTGTAATTGGTCCATTTTTACGGTACGTCTTACGTTACTGTTATGTCAATTCGTATGCGGCGCCCCTAACTACTAAGGGATAATAACTAATGAGGAGGAGCATGTTGATTAAACTATAACAAACCAGAATGAGCGGTATTCAGGCAGAAATTGAATCGGTCTGTACGACAAAGACCATCTCTAAGAAACGATTTTTCTGTTTCACCAATATACTATAGTTTAATTTTTTGCTCCGGCAGTGTGTAAAAGACAGACTAGAGATTCTATTTAGAAACCATTTCTCTCTCGGCTTGAGGTCATTATCGGGCAAAAATAAAGGCAATGCTCGTTTTAGTTAGCTATATAGTTGTATGGGAGCGCCAATTTGACGTGGGTGTTCCGCTAGCGACGATCGATCACGGGGTTTGTGCGCGCGCAGCATGTGGCCTGCGCGTGCTTAGGTCGGGTCGATGACGCACGAAGCGGAAGCGCAGCGCCGCGGATCGTCCAGTCGGCAGCTTCCGTCCCGCCGCGGAAGCTTGTCAGCCATTGTAGTTCTGTTCGCCGGTTCCTGTGGGTTGAGTCCGTGGATTTGCCGAGCTGTCGAGACGAGCGCGTTGTTCGCTGGCGAGTCACCTCGCTCGCGCGACAGCGTTCGTATTTTACGCGAAGGCCAAGTCCACTAACTCGACGAACGCTATCCCGCCGCCGCCACCGTTGTCGTCGCTGCCGCCGCCAGCTGACCACCGATCGTGACACACTTTAAGATCGTGCAACTTCAGCAACCCAACGAGTTCTCGTCGTCAACCGACGCAAAGCTACACTCTTTCCCAATCGATACCAGGATGTACAACGGATATTCCGCGCACGGCAGGTGTGTCCTTCAATGTCCTTTACGATCAGCGTCCAAAAGCAGCTTGTCATTTTGAGACGCTCGGAGAACGTTTTTTTTTACGATGGCCGTCGAGTTCCTCGGACCCCGTTGCTCCATTGTGGCCGCCATTTTGCGTACGAGCTTCTTTTCACTCGCTCCATTTTCTAACTGTGTCAGAAACTTATTGTAATTATCCGGCGGATTTAAGAGTCTAATGCCCGGCGGATTTCACGTGACAGAATGGCGAAAGATCCTTGTGACAAGGTGAAGGGATATGTATCATAGGTTTAACAAAGATGAACTGCTCTCTTTATTTTATATAAAAGAAAGAAAAAAATGTATACTAAACTTTATATAAAAGACAAGAAAGATTTAAGATTTAATTATAAATTGACAAAAAATCCCTTGCACATGTTATCCTTCCAGATGTGTAAGTGTGAGACTTTTATTAGTTATAGGCCTAGACCAAATCGAGACTTTGGCAATCGCAGTGGAGGGAATGGAGGAACATACTGGAACAGTCAGCAGCAGAGCCAGAAAGATTATGGCACGAAGAAGCAGAATCACAGGAAGGCTCCTGGTGATCTGCTCAAGAAACCTAACTGGGACATGACTGCACTGCCGTTGATACAAAAGAATCTGTACATTCCCCATAGCAATGTTTTGAACAGAACTCCTGATGAGATTAACAAATATCATGCAGGCAAGGAGATCACTGTTAAAGGCAACAACACACCTTCCCCAATTCAAGCTTTTGAGGAGAGCAACTTCCCAGACTATGTAATGGAAGAAATCAGGAAACAGGGATTCGCTGAACCCACAGCCATACAAGCTCAGGGTTGGCCAATTGCACTTAGTGGACGAGATCTCGTCGGAATAGCTCAAACTGGATCTGGAAAGACTTTGGCAGTAAGTACATTACATTATTTAATTGATTATTTTATTACTTTTATTTATTACTATTTCACTTATTCTACTTATTTTATTATTATATTTTACTTTTTAGTAAAATTATGAAAATTCAGTAGAATATTATATATTATATATTAGCTGTAAATATCATTCATTATTTGTTTATTGTGAAAGTAATATTCACACACAATTTTTATAATGATTAGTATCCAATCTTTAGTCAATACCTTTCTATTTTTTTACATCAGTAGCTTTCTGTCTTTTTACAACCTTTACTTTCTGTGTGAAATCTTAGTTCACGTTAGAAAACTAGTTAGGAAAACGTTACTTCTCGATTTTTTAAAGAGATTGTATCGTTTCCTTTACACTTACTTTAGTACATCCTTCCGGCGACTGTGCACATTAATCATCAGCCTCGCCTCAGCCGTGGCGATGGTCCGATCGTCCTAATCCTTGCTCCCACCCGCGAATTGGCTCAACAAATCCAGACAGTCGCACGCGACTTTGGTTCATCCTCGTGCATCCGCAACACTTGCATCTTCGGTGGCTCGCCGAAGGGGCCTCAGGCTCGAGATCTTGAGCGCGGAGTGGAGATCTGCATTGCGACGCCCGGCAGATTGATCGATTTCCTCGAGAAAGGCACTACAAACTTGCGTAGGTGCACCTACTTAGTGCTGGACGAAGCTGATCGCATGTTGGATATGGGCTTTGAACCGCAAATTCGCAAAATCATCGAACAGATCAGACCCGACCGGCAAGTGCTTATGTGGTCCGCCACTTGGCCCAAAGAGGTGCAGGCTCTCGCTGAGGACTTCCTCAATGATTATATCCAGATCAATATTGGCTCCTTAACATTAGCGGCTAATCACAACATCCGGCAAATCATCGAAATATGCCAAGAGCACGAGAAGGAATCTAAACTGTCACAATTATTGCGCGAGATCGCGACAGAACGTGGCAGCAAGATGATCATCTTCGTAGAGACGAAAAAGAAAGTGGACGACATCACGAAAGCGATCAAACGCGAGGGCTGGTCCGCCATATCAATTCATGGCGACAAATCTCAGCCAGAACGCGATTACGTGCTGTCGGAATTCCGCAACGGCAAAACCATGATCTTGGTAGCGACCGACGTGGCGGCGCGCGGTTTAGATGTCGAAGATGTCAAATATGTCATCAACTTTGACTACCCTAACAGCTCTGAAGACTACATCCACAGGATCGGCAGAACTGGTCGCTGCCAGAGTGCAGGCACCGCTTACGCTTATTTTACACCGAACAACGCAAGACAGGCGAAAGAGCTAATCGCGGTGCTGGAGGAAGCCGGCCAAGCTATAAATCCGCAACTGGCGGATATGGCGAACTCCATCAGGGGCCAATATGGTAAAGGACGGCAGCGATGGAGCCACGGACGTGGCGGCAATAAAGATAACAACTTGCACGGAAGTCCCAGAAACAACATCAGCCCGACTATAAACAACTGGCAGAGTCAGCATATTCCGCAAGTAAGCCAACATGGACATCAACAGGCTAATCCGGAGAAAACTGTAGCGCGTCATCAGCGCAACGGTGGTGTTGGTGGTGGTTACCAAGTCAATCGCCAGACCAACTACCAACCTCAGCACTCTTATCAACAGCAACATCAGCAACGACAGCCCACCTCCGGCTACCAAAATGGCTATCAGGCTACTACCAATGCGTGTCAGCCTACTCATCAGACTAATAGCAGTGCGCCTAGGTACCAAGGCAGGACCGGATACCAGGGTAATCGCTTCCGGCAGAACGGCTTCAATGGTGGCCAGAGCGGACCCAATGTGTACTCAATGCCGCCGCCTTTTATGATGCCATCCGGCGGCCACACTGACTCTGGGATCCAAAGCCTCGTGAACAATAAATTCTTCCAGACAAACCGACCGCCTCCGAATGCCGGCGCCTGCGCTTATCAGTCGATGGGCTATGGTCAGTTTCAGGCTATGCCGCCGTACGGATACCCGTATCCTCCCACGCCGGTGCAGCAGTGACGCCTCCCGCGCTGCAAAACCGCCGGAGTACGAGCTAAATGAGAAGTAGGTAAGTTGGTCCCGCCTATCGGGTACTATTGGGTCCCTATTGGTGTGACAGTGGGCCCAATTTGGTTATGGTAGACTGTCGATAATAATTAACCAGTCGTAGAATTTACGGGAATTCTATCTGAGAGTTCAAATATTCTAGAAGTGGAATTTGTGCTTCGATCATTTCAAAATTTGGTGACCCGATTGTGGGAATTTTTACACCTCGTCGAAAGAAATTAATATTATGTTTTCTATTGGGAAAAAAGAAAATTCTACTGGTGTTCTCCTCCTGAGTTTTCAAGGAGAAGTAGAATCGTAGGAATTTGCTTTCCGCTAGAAGTCACGATTGAATGCCTTGCCTCCTCAGAGGTTTCCGACAACACTAAAATTTTAAAGAATCGACAGTCTACTGCGTCATATTTAATGTGTAATAATCTTGTTCTTACTTTTTTTTCGTTTATTCTTTTTCTGGAATTGTGCCGGTTCATGTCTCTTTTTAAACGTTTTTTTTTCGATATCTTGATTAATTGAATGAATAATTAATCGAGCAGTCGTATTACAGATAGAAAAGTTTGATTTTTGTTTGTTGCCGTCACAGTTCAGAGATTGATGTTTCAGATGTATAAATTTAAATTTAGAGGTTGATCTTTAACAATTTGAGTCTAACTTACTATGAGTTATTATTTAACTAAATTATTACTTGATAACTGGTTTTACGTTGTATGCGATTGTATGGGAGCCTCTAAAGTAATTGCTTCCGGTTGAAATGTTGACTGTACAATTGTACGGTCGAGAAAACGTAAATGGGTTATATAATTAAAAAATAATAAACTATTAAATTACAAAAATAATATATATAAATAAAAGCATATAAACATTTTAAGGTGCTACGTACCTGAGCACTTTCCAGTCGAATATTTTTAATATAGCATATTCGTTCATGCATTTTGTATCAAAAGAAAAAACTAAATGATATATATAATTTCTATTATATTACAATTTCTATTATATAAAATAACTATGTTATATAAACTATATCACTTATATATTATATATGCTACTATAAAAAGTAGCTAAATAAAATAGTAGTAACATAAAATGAAAAAATGTGGCTGTAACATAAAATGAACATTGAAAACTTTATTAGTAAAGTTTTAAGTAGTATAAATGTCTTATGTTTAAAGTTTAAAGTTTAAATAAAATTTATACTTCAATTCTATTCTCTTTTTATATTCTGTTTTCTTTTATATTTTATTAAAATTATAATTGCAAATTTCACATGAATATTACTGAACAATTTTTGTAATAACATGTCTTGAATTAAATAAATTTTACAATCATTGATTGATTTGTTGAAAATTCGCGTTCTCGATTATCGCGTGCGACATACGAGATACGCACACGGAAAAAATATTTGGTTGAATGAATCAAATATCTGGTCGAGTATGAACGATCCAGAAGTTCCGATTAAAGTAACCCGAATTCTGTTTCAGTTTCAACAAGATTTGAAAAGTTTGATAAACTAACCAAAACAATATCTAGTTATGTCCAAAACAGATATGTCTAAAAATCGGACCAAAAATCTTGTTAACTTAAACAGAATTCGGGTTACTTCAATTGGAATTACTGAATCGTTCATATTCGACCAGATATTTGGTTAATTCAACTAAATCTTTTTCTCCGTGCACAAAATTCACATTTATATGTAACTATAAATGTATAATTAAAAATGAACCTAAAGCGTATAATAATCGTATTTAAAACTTTTATATAAAACTAAACATTGTGAGAATATTTTCGAGTGTAAACTTATGTTTCTTCCGTTCGTCTCTCGAAGAGTTTGACGAGGTAGCACGGACTCAAATTGTTAAATCAACCAAGAGAGAGAGAGAGAGAGAGAGAGAGAGAGAGAGAGAGAGAGAGAGAGAGAGAGAGAG